GAATCACCTAACACACGGTGATCTTAGCATGCGGATGAGGTCGGATCTCGGGAACACAAGGTAATTAATTAAGTAGGGTCTTGCATGTGTCCATCATGACGAGACAGCGCCTTGACTTGGTGTGATGGCTAGCGTGCCTCCATGACCCTGCGAGCTAAACAGGACGGCCTTCCACAGCCGCAGATCGAAATGTGCCTAAAAGGCCGGTGAGTAAAGGCCAGACAAAGCTCAGTCTCACAAGACCTGTTTTTTGCTCTGCTTCTAACTGTCCACACTCGCCTCTGGAGAGGACACTTCAACGAATAGACACGGGGAGGTGCAGTTTACCGATCAAAAATCCCTGCTATATAGATGTGAAGGTTGGTCCCTGGAACTTCCTCTCGTGAGTGGGAGAAGTATTTGCGCTTCATTGGAAAGCTATCGCCCGCCCAAGCTTGGCAGCTCCTAGCCAATAATGTACTTTCCGTCCACGTTTCATTGGACACAGGAGGCTAAGGTCTAATGCCGAACTGCTGATCGTCAATCAACTTACCGCCAAACAATACACTCAAAGGCCTTGCATGACGAGTCCCTAGACATTCACGCACGGGTGCTTCGGTCACGCTTCCTCATCGGATCCACGCCCCACTGCCTATTGAGCCACACCTTTGATTCAAAGGCTTCGTTTAGGGTTCCCTTCCTCGATTTGTACTACCGCGAATCATGTCGTGCCCTAAAGTCTCATGCACCCATTTGGAAAAATCTGTCTCATCTGTCTAGTTCCTACTCTCATTACTAGATCATATGATATGTCCTCTGTTTATGCCACCCATGGGATATCACTCGGAGTTTAACCACCAAAGTTAACCTACCAAGGGCCATATCGTGAATAAAACCAAAATATCCGTTTCACTTGACTGAACACAATATCCACACGCTATCAGATCGGTCAACAAACTGCTTTAGCTAGAACCATTAAGACGTTCACTTTAGACCTATGCTCCGCCCCCGGAAACACATAAAAAACACCGTTTCAATTATCTCCTTGCGATCTCCAGACCGAATCTCATCCTCACGCTTCACTCTTCCTGTGCCAGTCAATTCGGCATCCGAAGCTCGCGGTATTGCTCGTGTTGAGATTGCGCCAAGTGCCAAAGCTGAGCACGCTGCGTGACCGGATTCCGGTCAGTAGCCGACTGTGCGCTGTATGTCTCGATTGTTCAATACAGATCAACAGCTACCAAACAAAGCGTCGCTGCTTATTCATCGTGTCCGTGTATACATCAACTGATTGCAGTGCACCTGAGATGAAGGATGACTTCTAAAAGGTCCTCTCGACCGCTGCAAAATGCTCTGTCAACGGACGTCGTAGTAGTCGCTGGAGACTTCAATGCTCAAATGGAATCCCTGGACGAATCAAAAGCTACCTAGGCGGCCCACACGCAATCTCAGCCAATCGGGCGGACAACGGAGACCGCCTACTTCAACTCTGCGTGGACCATGGATTATTTCTATCGAGCACCAACTTTAAAAAAATAGCACGGCCTCACATGGGAACCTACTTCTTCATAGCGGTGGAATCAAATGGACCACATCTTCATCAGCTACTGCTAGCAAGGATCAATCGAAGACAGCCGCTCTTACTGGTCAACACCCATGGACACGGCCCACGCACAGTTACAAGCCAGATTCTTAATACAGCTGATGAACCACCGCAAAAAACCATCGTAAACAGATGCTCACAGTACAATGCCAGATGTAACTGTCAATCTTCCTTGGAAGCGGAACTCTCCGAACGCTGAAGCACTCAATGAATTGAAATTAATCAAGGACATTATCGAAATATCAATCAAAACAACGGCGGATTCTGACACGCGATCAAAACACAAACGATGAATCTCATCTACCTAGGCTGCTTTGCTGCACGCCCGCACAANCACAACCATCCTTCCTGATGCCAAATATGACACAGCGCAGAAATCCCTTAAACGCTAGCTCATCAGGAGTCTGAGAAATGACCGCGAGAAGTGGTGGGTAGGAAAGAGCAGAGAAATGGAGAAGGCCGCAGTCATTGGTAATATTCACCGTCTTCTCCGTCTAATTAGAAATACGGGTCCAAGGATCATACACATAAGTCAGGTAGTTAAGGAGTCTGATGGCACACTGCTTCGTCATCAGCAACGTCGTCTTGATCGATGGACTTAACATTTCGAGGCTCAATTCACCTGGCCCTCATCGGCATGAGACCTGTCAACCTCTACATCAGTCCTCCATCCGAAATGGAGGTTTCCAGGGAAATAAGTCATCCAGAAAGGTATAAGGCTTCCCGCTCAGATAGGCCATTCCCATCAGTTCTTAACGATGGAAGTCTAGCCTTGGTTTTGGAGTTGATGAAACACCTGGGAGCAATAAGGAAGACAGAACAGATTCTAACCGGATGGTGCAAATCGGTCATCTTACCGATTTGCAATAAAATTGAGAGATCCTTTTGTGAAAATCACAGAGAAATCAGTTTAATCAACATTGTTTCTGAGCTTCTCGCCGGTGTTATTCTCCGTCGATCGTCTGCCGCTCGCGAGCAATGTACGCGTGAGCATCGGGATGGTTTTAGACCCAATGGAGGTTGTTTAGACCACCCTGTTACTCTTCGAAAAAATTTAGAACACAAACACTTCCTTCGTAGACTCACCATTTTTGTCTTCGTCGATCTGAAAGCGGCTTTCGACTCAGTCGACCGCTCCAAATCCTGGCGCTGCCGCTATTTGAAGGGTGTGCCTAAGAAGTTAATTACCATTTTGCGATCCTTTCATACCAGTAGCGTGTTTCGGAGATACAACCTACGTCCATATGTAAATTATCAAAGGTTCTAGCTACGGCAGCTTCGTGGCCGAACCTTTGAACGCGGCTAAGTGAAAATAGGATTTTGGCTTTAA